ATAGCGAAGGCCTTCTTAAGTAAACCGATAAAGTATGATTTTATTGTTGTACTTACTTATTCATGAAACTGAGCCCTTCTTGAGGAGTCTCCAATTCTGCAGCTACTCAAGAATTTCCCAGCATTTCATGGAACCCGAAGGTTCATAACCTTGCTCACAAGAGTCCTCCACTGGTCTCTATCCTGAGCCAGATCAATCAAATCTATACGATCCCATCTCTCTAAGATCCATTTTAATATTGTCCACCCACCTACGTCTTGATCTTCCCAGTGGTCTCTTTCCTTCTGCCTTTCCCAGCAATATCCTATATGCATTCCCCGTCTCCCCCATTCGTGCTACAAGCCCTGCCCACCTCATCCTCCTTGACTTGATCAGTCTAAGATCGTTATGTAGGGCTGATGCGAGCCTGGAAACTATTATCACCTCAACTCAGTACCAATTTTCGTCGACATCCATTCGGTAGTTTCGAAGAACGAGACTATGGATAAAAAGCAAATACCTCATCATTTTGTATTTATTTTATATCTTTGTGCAAGAACACATCATAAAACTGTACATAACATTTCAATCTAAAATATTTTGACATTCAAAAGTAGTATCAGTTTTGCAATATCGTCCTATTTCTCATAATCATAGTGGTCTATTCATTTGTTTTATCATGTTTTCTGATGTTTATATACGCTTTACCGACATTTTTAGAAGCATTCAGGCATTAACAGCTTCTAAAATAAAATTGCTCTCAAAGCTGAAACTCTATCAAAAATAAAATAACTAGTTCAGACGAGCTTTAACGAAACGCGGTCTGCGACTGCCTGTGGGAACTTAATCACTGAAATGGATTTCAATCCACAGTTCGTAGCAGCGTTGGTCTAGACAGAACCACAGATAATTAAAACGTGGTTGGTAGTACGACATATTGAAAAGTAAAAGAAACCGCCTCTGTGGTCTAATGATCAGTGTTCCTGGCTAGAGATCCAGAGGTCCGGGTTAGATTCCCGGCGCTACCAGAATTTTTTCTGAGAATTAGTGTGTCTGGAACGGGGTCCACTTAGCCTCATGATGATATTTGAGTAGCTATTTCAAGGATATAGCGGTTCCGGTCTAGAAAACCGAAGTTAACGGTCCTGGGGATTCGTTGCGCTGACCACGCGACACCCTCTACCCACAAAAGTTGGTACTAAACTTCGCCGACAAGCGGCGATGGCTCGGTCAGTATAGTTCGCTTGCAGACTAAAATCACGGAGCTTTTTTTGCCTGTGTTAGAGTTTCGAACAGCGGATAATACCATATACCTGTGCCTTTTGCACAGAATCCTTGACAATTATATGTTGCATAAAACAAATTCATAGAAGCAGCCTTGACTAATATTTATCGGTGCTTTAACATGGCTTGAAAATCGATGGAGTTCCATGAACAGCAATTAACACGGATAGACCTGCTATACAAGAGTAATTATTTTGGTCAAATAATTTTGCATTAAAGGGCTTAAAAATCCCGTTCCGATGAAATGCGTTGATAATATTTTAATAAAATACTGCATACATTACTGATGTAATTTTCAGTGTTATTTGAGTGCATAAAATTGACATATAATAGGGCGGTTTTCTTCTAAATATTCACCCCACTTCTATCTTCTATCTTCCAAATCACTTTACAGGTTTTTACAAAATTCAGAAAGGAGGTTATACTCTAAAAATTCTGGGAGAGATGAATTTTGATCAGTACTAGATCACTGCAGCTCCTACCTTACACGAACCTGAAACTAGATTCTTAATTCATTTTCCTTTTTCACAGCAACTGTTTAAATATTCTGTTAAGTTCGCAATATACTTAAACGATTACAAATAAAATAAATAAAATAAAAGTCTCAACAACAAGAAAGAATAATAAATAATTTTATTTGCAAGGTTTGGCATTACTTAATTTCTATGAAACATAATATTGTCATGCGATTTAGTGAATATAGATGGGTTTTGGATTTATGGCCTGATTTATTGGACTCTTTGATACAGCGCGTGACTACACTTTACAGCTGATTATTACACAGAGACAGACACACATTAGAGTCCGCAATCAAGTCTTCACTATCCGTTGCTCGGTAGCGGCTAACAAAGCGAACGTTCCACTTCCTCTGGGCTCCCGAACTCTCCCCGGACTCAGTTACCAGCTTCTGACAGCAACAGCTCACAACGACTGAACTCCACCAGTCATCTAATTCACTCTCCTTAACTGGCCTTGAGTATAGCATCTAGGCACGGACAGCGTAGAAAACATCACTTCTATTATTGCTATATTTCCCTGTTGCCGTGGAAACATGCTTGTTTCCGGAGCCGTAACTAAGCAGCTGCTTTTATGTAGTTGCTTATTTCGCAGTCGTTGCTTATCAACGGGTCTACATGCCACATTAATAATTAATCCGGGAATGAAATATGTATCTAATTATGATCCATACGTCTTGTTGGAAATATCAGAAGGAGAGTTCTTCCGTTGTAAAATTTGTTATTTTATATTTCATTTCTGAACATTTGATTTATTACATCCGTAAATAGGTAAAAATCATTCAGTACAAAGTAACAAATTATGTTTTCAGAAATTTATTTTCCTAAGACCCAGTGACGTTAACCACGGATCTATACAAGACCTGGGTGAGTTGCAGGATCCGTTGCTGGAGGCTGAGAAATGTCCTTTATGAACAGTTTGATAATTAATATTGTGTAATTACCCACTTCGCCGGTCACGGTAGCCGAGCAGTCTAAGGCATGTACTATCTTCGCTCCTTCGGAAGCCAGGATAGTGGGTTCGAATCTCACACAAGTAATTGATGTTTGGTGTCTGAATGCATTTATTCTGTGTTTGTGTTGTCCTGTGTTTAGATAAAGGCCTTGCGACGAGCTGATCACTCGCCCAAGGAGTCCTACCATCTGTAAAAGTGATCATGAAACTGAAAAATCAGAGACTAAAACTCAAGGGGTGAACGGAGTTCATGGAGGTAGGCCTAGGCCCACTGGGGCTGTAGTGCCAAGGAAAGAAACTCAAGGGGGCTGTAGAGCCAGTGAAAAAAATTAACTACTTCTGCACAAAAATACAGGGTCTGTTCAGAATGACAATTCTCTCCAGACGCTTTCAATGTTACTATAATTGCATATAATTCATTAAGCGATCATTGGTAGAAACTAGTGTGTCAAATTAAAACAGTCCATATTTGTTTCCGGTTTATTTGATAGGTAATGATAAATTGTCTTCAGTTTGGTTATTAATCAATCCGGATTTCAAACGAGTGTATGAATCACACAATAAAAGCAAAATAGGAGTGCGAGGGATACATACATACTCATTGCAGACCTCGTCACAGGGCAGAGGGCCATAGGATCGCTGCCTGTTTCTACAAAAATGTTGATACGAGTCAGGCTTTATTCCAGACAGTGTAGCCAAGAAGATTGTCCTCGTAATAGAAACGTTCAAGTAGACAGTTGCTGTAGTGTGCCGCTACTCTTTCCTTTAATGATTTCACCCTGTTATATGTCGTAGAAATTAGGTGAAAGAGAAACTTAAATAGCCAATTATGTTCGCCATAAAATTGGCTAATAATATATTAGTAAAGCAAGAATTTCTGTAATAACAATTTGACACTTTAGTCTGCCTCAGAACTGTTGAAACTACAATCTACAATCTTGTATATAACGAATATTATCAGAAATTATAAATCAATAATTATATGCCAGTGGTCCAGTTCTTTTCACAATATTCAANATTTTTGGAATGTGAGATCTGTAGTAGTGTTTCGTTTAATAACGATAAATAATGAACTGACTGTAGCTACATTCCTCATCATTGATAGGGAACTTGATCATAAATATAAGCACAAATGAAGAAAGCAGTCTTCTGGGATGTAGCACTGTGTAGATGTGGTATTAACCGACGTTTTGGATGAACGTATCTCCTCCATCTTCAGGGTAGAAGGAAAAGTAAGAAATCCGCGAGCGAAGGGACGCTTAGAACCGGTACAAGTAGACTGCTTCTACCCTGAAGATGGAGGCGATACGTTCATCCAAAACGTCGTTTAATACCACATCTACACAGTGCTACATCCCAGAAGACTGCTTTCTTCATTTGTGCTTATATTTATGATCAAGTTCCCTATCAATGATGAGGAATGTAGCTACAGTCAGTTCATTATTTATCGTTATTAAACGAAACACTACTACAGATCTCACATTCCAAAAATATTGTTAGATACTGTACTCTATCTTCAACAGATATCTGCTCCTCAAAGATCCGTATCTGCAGCTGCATTCTGGGTCTCAAAATGCGTTAGTACTGCTCACTTCAGAAGTTCGCGTGTCCACTGTGTTGATGATATTAATGCTGAATTATTGTTGTGACAGATTTGTTCAAAGCATTGTTAGGCAACTGCTCGATAAACATCCCGCGACCGACTTGCACTCAACAATAAGAAGAGTGTTTTCTATTGCTAGGCAGCAGCAAGTGCGCCAACGGACTTGTTAATTAGCGATTACGCGATAACCACAATAGAAGCGTCATGCAGCAATGTAGGAAAAAGTGTTTTCTGTGTGTTGGTCCGTGAGGCGGCTATATGACGCAAGTTCACTTGTAGCGAATTCAGTTAAACAACATCCCCGCTGCTTGTGGTACGCGGGCGGTCACCTACACAAGGAGTGCCCCGAGAAAGGGAATACATCTTCCACCCCAATATCCTGCCACTGCCGTTTGGCAGTTTATGGTACGAAGTTGATGTTTGAATGATTTTATTTTCTGCGTCATATTCAGTATACGAGTACATTTAGTCTTTTCTTTATTTACTTCAAAACTCGCCTGTTTCCTCAAGATTTGTTTAAATATTGACATCCATTTTCCTCTTGCTTTAATAGAGACTTGTGCACTACAATTCTGTTATATGCGAGTACTTCTTGCCCTCGCTGCGAGTTGCATGTGACCAGTCAGTGGTGCCACTCAGCAGGTTCCTTACGTCTGCATTTCAGGAAGAAGAACTGAGGTGTTCTGGGGACCCCAAGTTCTCTCATCTTAGTGACGATCTGCACGTCGAGATCACAGCCTTCGCGCCGCCGGCGGAAGCACATGCTAGGATCGCCTATGCACTAGCGGAAGTGCGCAGGTTCTTAGTTCCGGTGAGTAGCCGCGTCTGCGCGTGACCTCCACATCTGCATGCGGGCAATGGTCAGTTTCTTTCAATTATATTAGTTATATTCTATTAGTTTATTTATTAATTATCTTGTGTTATAGCTGTCAAAGCAATAAATAAAACGGGAATATCTACAGTGCAGACAACAAATCTTACTTATTTAACGTAAACGTAAATCGCGCTACATGTTTCTACCAATAATTTAGGTCATCATCAGGCGCCCCTTTTATGATCTTTAACTCCAGTGTTTGAAATTTATAAATTATGACATAGATCCATATTTATGTAACAGGTGTCTGTTGTTGCAAGCGGCTCTATATTTTTAAGGTGAGCATAGATCTATATACTTATATTATAATAAAATTCTTTACTAAATATTAAGGATTTAAAGAACATATAAGTATAAGTATATAAAAGTATAGATTCCACAGTATATTTGAATGTTGGTTATTTGTTATGCTTAGTTTTTGTACAGAACCCTCCCTAATGGTGTGTTGATGTGCTGGAGGGGGAGAGGGGTCTTCGTGTTGTTTTCTGCTTGCTGCCTTGTAACTCTTATTTACTGCAACCGAGTAAATATTATTGCATGAATGATGTACGATTTTAGGTTTAAGATTTGTCTAGTGTTTTTGAGAAATGAAAAGAATTATGGGGCTGGGGCACATTTACCTAATTTCAATGTGAGTAATCTCACCGTAATTTCTTGTTTCTTTCTATGGTTACTTTGGACTGACGTGGAAGTTTGGCTGTAATGAAGGAGAGGAATAATATATATTCCAATTGTGTGTTATATGTTGCATTCATAATAAATAAATACTGTAACTTTTTGAAACTCTTACTTATGTGTTTGAAATATTGATCCTAATGTTGCCCCCTGTTGATGTGGCGTTATTTGTATAGTTGCATAAATGAGTGTTTCCTATATTATGTTGTGGCTGACGGTTATAACAGAGGATTAATAGTATATACACAACAGGATGAAAACTATAAATTTCATTTCTTTATTGCCTAAGTAACGACGATGTCAATATTGCTACTACTCGAGCCAACTTGTTCCAATGTATTCGATCTGAATGACTGATAAGCTGTTGCTACTGCCCCGATGTGAACTCACGACTTGCAGACAACTACTACTAGCCAACTTCACTCCTACCAGCAAGCAACTGCGATGTTGTAACCCTGTTCCTTAACACATTCTGGATGCTGTATTGAGCCCCTGTGAACTACAGAAAGCCAACGTATTCCACAGTAAATCACAAAGGCATGGCGCATCAGCCTCGGATATCAGACATGTGGCAAAACTCGAGCTTGCTAGTTGCGCGTGGAAATCAAAACTCTCTTCTCACAGAAGAATCATTGCTTTGAGAACTGCTACTATACGTTCACAGTTAAATCACTTAATAAAGAATGTTTTCATTCGCATTGTCACTAGAACTGTGTTGTGTTTAGTCAAGAACGATTGGATGGGAAGGGCATGTAACGGGCATTAAATATTAGTGCAACGCATTTGCTCAAAGCGTTGCTAGACAAAATCTCGGTAAACAAGTTTCAATGTGCAACAGTCGAAGCCGTCTCTCAGTGTACGAATGTTATAGCTCGTTGCTAGGCAACAGTCAGCGCGTCAATGAACTCCATGGGTAGGAATCACGTGACGTGCTTTCTGTGTGGTCCGTGAGGAGCCTATATAACGAGGACCTGTTGTAGATTACAACAGTGCAGAGTGCGGTGCAGTGTAGTTAATACTTATTTACAAGAATACGACTGTGAAGAGAAGATGATATGTGTGACATTTGGAGTGTGTAATTCAGTGAGTCTGTTATTGTTCCTGTGATTTATTTGCGTTACCAGGAGAGGACTAGTGTGCGTGTGTGTAAGAGTGAGTTATAAAGTGTAGAAGTAGCGACAGCGCTATAATTACGTGTAATTACCGGTGGCGTGTATCAGGAGTAAATAAACTCGTTCATCCAATCCAGAACCCGCGTTATTAGTCACTAATACACGTGAAAATATGTCTAATTGTGTTTTGTAATTAATTTAATCCCAATCATATCGTCAGAAACAAATCCTCTAAGATCAAATTCAGCCTACTTTAATTACTTTGTAAAGACATGTGGATTTGTTATCTCATCATATTCGTGAGTCCATACTTCTCTGTTGACTAACTTGACGGATTGTCACTAACAATGGAGTCTGTAAGAAATTTAAATATACTCGTAATTATTGGTTTCATGGAGATGATTAATAAACCAATGGAGCTAGGCACAATAAATTATATACTGGAGGTAGACCGTAAACATACCTAACAATGCAATATGCATATGTTTACGCCCTGATCATTACAAACATGGAGACGATGCAAAACTTAGAAGCAAAAATTTGATGAGTTAAGTAACGTAGAGCCGGTCACGGTAGCCGAGCGGTCTAAGGCATGTACTGTCTTCGCTCGCTCGGAAGCCGGGATCGTGGGTTCGAATCCCACTCAGGGCATGGATGTTTGTGTGCGTTTTTCTGTGTCTGTATACAGGTAGAGGCGACGAGCTGATCACCCGCCCAAGGAGTCCTACCGAATGTGTAAGATCTAGAAAAACCGAAGTGAACGGAGAATTTCATGGAGGTAGGCCTAGGCCCACTGGGGCTGTCATCATCGTCAGTAATCTGTCAAGACGACAGGTCCACAGTCTCTTTCAAAACAATTCCTCCACTTAATGCGATCTAGAGCTTTCTCCTTCAAATGACAGTATCCTCTTCTGTCCCCAAGGTCATCCAGCATCTTCTTACGTCTTCTTCCTCGTCTTCTTGTCACTTCTATC